TGACAGGATAAAGGCAGTGTGACTGGGACAATGTGACAGGATGGGGGCAGTGTGACAGAGCAGGGACAGTGAGACAGGACAGGGATTGTGTGACAGGGACAGTGTGACAAGGCAGGGACAGTGTGACAGGATAAAGGCAGTGTGACTGGGACAATGTGACAGGATGGGGGCAGTGTGACAGAGCAGGGACAGTGAGACAGGACAGGGATTGTGTGACAGGGACAGTGTGACAAGGCAGGGACAGTGTGACAGCAGGGATTGTGCTCTGCCAGGAGCACAGTGAGATCCAGGAGGACAGATCCAGCTGTTCCTGTGGGATGCCAGCTGGGAGATGGGCTGAGCACAGCAGTGCCAGCCTGGCTGTCCCCAGCTGGCAGGTGACAGCACTGCTGGGACAGGTGCAGGCAGGCATGAAGGGCCCGGGGTGCACCCCAGGAGGGGCACAGCACAGGAGGGAGCACAGGAAGGGGAGCACATGAGGCTGTGTTGTTGAATCCTTGCCTTTTTCTCATCCACTTCTCCCCTCAGCTCCATTTCTGTTTGGGGTTTTTCCACGCTCCATCAGCTTTGTTTAGGATTCTCTGTTGGCTCCTGCTGCCAGCCAGGCTTTGAGGGCATGGACATGAAAGGATGTGGCAGTTCCCTTTGTCAGGACACCTGCTTGAGGAAACAGCTCCGTGCCAGCCCTCCCTCCCTCCCCGGGCTCTCCCAGGAGCAGAGCTGCTGCTTCCTGCCAGCCTGGGGCACATTTAGGACCATTAGAGCTCTGAGAGTAGCAATTCTTCTCTAACCATGCCATTGCAGCTTCAGCTTTAGTGTTCTGCCTTCTTCCCAGGTGGGATCTCTGAGTGTGAAATGCCTCAGTACGCCGTGTCACACCTCGGGCCACATCTGTTATTATGTGACTAAGCCAAATAGCTCCGAGCCACCTGCAGTTTTTACAGGTGAGGAGTTGGGAGGTTCCCTTGCAAAAAACAAAGCTCCCCCTCTGCCTGGGTGCCTCTGGATGTGCATCCCTCCCTCCCTCCCTTCCTGCCAGGGCAGCTGCTGAACATCCACACCCTGCTCCCCTTTCCAAGCAGGTGGAGCTGGGGAAGCCCCTGTGGATCTGTGAGCCAGGGCTGCACACCCTGCAGGCAGCATCAGCAGTGAGCCCTGCAGGAGTCCTACATCCAGCATTTTTTTTTTTTCCTGGAGAAAAGAGCTGTTGGTTTCCTGTTGGAGGCCAAACTGATCCCAAACCCTGTTGCTTTTCCATATATCTGTGCTCAAGTCTGACAGCAGAGAGAGGAGAGAGTAGGGGAGTCAGGGAGGGCTGGTGCTCCACTGCTGGTTTGGGGCCTGCATCCTGCTTTGGGGAGAAGGAATCCCCTTCCCTGGGGCTCTGCTTCATCCCTGTGTCCTCCAGAAGCTCCTGCATGGAAGAGAAAGAGCCTTAAACAGGATTTTAGGGAGCACTGGGCAGAAAATAGAGGTGACTCATCTTTGTTCAGTTTCACAGCAAAGAAAAGCGTCCCTTGTCCCCTATAGGAGGGGGCAGCAGGGGACAGGGGCTGCCCACAGCTCAGAGGTGCTGGCAGGAGGTGCCTGGTGAGGCTCCCACGTGTGCCAGCAGTGCTGCTGTGGCTGTGCCCTGGGGCAGCAGGGGCAGGGCTGAGCCCCCAGGCTGGTGTGGGCAGCCTGCTGTGGCCTGATGCCATTGTCACCCCTGCAGGTGACACCCTGTTCGTGGCTGGCTGCGGCAAGTTCTTCGAGGGCACCCCAGAGGAGATGTACAGGGCACTGATTGAGATTCTGGGCAGCCTGGACCCCAGAACGGTACAAACCTCTCCTTTTGTGTGAGTGAGCAGCCCGGAGCAGCACCCAGAGCAGAGGAACACCCTGAGGGTGCTGCTGGGCACAGGGACTGCTGTGTGCAAGGAATGGATGCTTACAGGAGTCCTGTGGTGCTGCAGGGCCCTGGGGAGGGTTGGCCTGCCCCAAATGTTTGTGCTGTGTGGGGAAGGAGCAGGGGCTGGTGGTTAAAGGCTGCTGGGCTGGGACATGGGGCTCTCATCTCTTCAGCTGGCAGCTTGTTCTGCCTGCTGAGTCCTGGCACGTGTGCCTGTCTCCATTTGGGGGTTTTGGGTGGAGTGTGCTGTTCCTGCTGTGCTGCTGGCACCTGGCAGTGCCATTGCAGTGCCCAGTGTCACTGTGTCGCTGTCCCTTCTCTTCCCAGAGGGTTTACTGTGGCCACGAGTACACCATCAACAACCTCAAGTTTGCTCGGCACGTGGAGCCCAGGAACCCCAACATCCATGAGAAGCTGGCCTGGGCCAAGGTGAGCTGAGCTGCTCCTCCTTCCCTGCACACAGAGCCTTGCTCAGGAGCTGCAGGAGAGGAGACAGGGCTGGGAAAACAGAGGGAGTTAAGAGCCAGGAGCTGCAGGATGCTGTGTTCCAGGGGAGCAGGGTTTGCCTGTGCCCACAGTTTGCTGTCTAGGGGAGAAATTCCCTGCCTGGAAACCCCTGTTGTGTCCAGGGCACTCCCTGCTCCCCAGAATCCCTGGTGGAGCAGCCCTGTGTCCCTCTTTGCAGGCCCAGTACGACAGTGGAGAGCCCACCATCCCCTCCACCATCGCTGAGGAGTTCACCTACAACCCCTTCATGAGAGTGAGGTAGGGAACCGTCCCAGTGCCTCCCTCATCCCTGCCTGGGCGCCTCCAGGGCTCCCACTGGCTGTCCTGGCAGAGGGCTCCTGCATTTGGGGGTTGTGCTGAGCCTCATTCCCTGGCCCAGGAGGCAGAACAGCCTTTGGTGTGTCTGTTCCTGTACCCAGCAGGTGCCGTTTCCTCCTGAGCCTGCAGGCCAAGCTGGGAGCTGTGCCAAAGGCCGGGGTTTGGTGCTGAAGTGCAGCCCTGAGCCCTGAGCTGGTGCCTGCAGGATCCCACCCTGACCCTGCTCTTCCCTCCTGGCAGGGAGAAGTCAGTCCAGGAGCACGTTGGGGACAGCGACCCTGTGCGGGTCATGGGCGCCATCAGGAAAGAGAAGGACAACTTCAGAGTGCCCAGGGACTGAGCCCTGCCTGCGTCACTTTAATGTCACTTCAAGTGTCACTTAGACCTTTCAGATGTTTTAGGAGTCAAATCTTCTGTCGTGGTTGAGACAAGTTTTCTTTAGGTTTTTTTGTTTTGTTTTAATTCAGAAAAAAAAAAAAAAAGCACTTTGCCCTTGTTGAGATGTTCTACAGCATATTTATATTGTGATGAAGAATATTTATCCTCCTCTTGCTCTCTCAAGCTGTCACATGTCACCTGCAGATCATTGTGCAAGTGTTGGTGTGAGACCCCAGGCTGGGCAGGATCAAGCCTGGGGTTCAGGAAGCAGCTCCTGTCCTTGCTGTGGATGGACAAGGTGGGACTGAGACGTCTTTGTGTGAAGCAGAGACCAAACACAGGAGCTGCAGATCTCAATGTTTCCTCCATGCTGCTACTTCAGCATTCTGGGTGTCCTCCAGGGCCAGACCTGCCGTGCCAGTGCTGCTTCAGGGTGTCCCCTGGGAGCCCCACGGGCTGCCCTGGCCCTGGGGGTGGCTCTGGGGCCATCCAGCTGCTCCCTTGTCCCCAGGCATTGCTGTGCTTGCACCCTTTGAGCCCCAAGCTGTTGCATGAAGCTGCTGCCTGCTGTCCCCTGTGTGTGAGCTGTGCCAGGCTCTGGCTGGTGCCTCAGAATGCAGGAGCAGCCACTCCTGGTGGGTGCCTGTCCCCCTGAGGGTGGTGGCAGCCCTGCAGCAGGCCTGGGAGTCACAGGCAGCTGAGCAGTGGTTACCTGTCCCCAGGTGAGCAGGGATGTGGGGTGGCACCAGGCCTCCATTTGCTTTAAAATGCTGAATTTTCTGTGGTTCAGAGAGAAAAGTGTTACCTAGAGCTGTGCTGCCACACCTGAGTGTGACTGTCCTGATGAGTGTGACTGTCCTGAGGGCTGGGCAGAGGGGAAATAAAGAACAGCTGGAAGCAGAGGTTGTTAACTCACAGATTCCTGAATTTCTTGGGTTTGCACTAGAGATTGAAGTCAACCGGCTGGGAGTGTCATTCTGCCCAATCCTGGGGTGAGTGGGTGGCACTGTGGGGACCCCAGGGGCTTCAGTGGCAGCTGCATTTTTGTGGAAGGGGAACAGGGGAGGGTTCAGCCCTTGTTTTGCTGCCTGTGAGTGCCAGTCCTTCCTCACGAGGGGCATTTGGGCCCCTCAGGACAAGAAGGACATGGAGGGGCTGGAGCATGGCCAGGGAAGGGAACGGGGCTGGGAAGGGGCTGCAGAATCCCTGAGGGAGCTGGGAAGGGGCTCAGCCTGGAGGGTTGGGCTCTGCTCCAGGGAACAGGGACAGGAGCACAGGGAACGGCCTCAAGCTGGGCCAGGGCAGCTCAGGGTGGGATTTTAGGGAAAATTCCTTCCTGGAGGGGCTGCCCAGCCCTGGCACAGCTGCCCAGGGCAGGGGTCCCCATCCCTGAGGGGATTAACAGCCCTGTGGATGTGGCACTTGGGGACATGGGACACTGGTTTTTGGGGGGAATGGTTGGGCTCTGTCTCGGGGGACTTTTCCAGCCTCAATAATTCCATGTGGGAGCCATGGCCAGCCCTGGGGAAGCTCAGCTCTGTTTCCTGAGCCTTTGGGGCTTCCTGCACTCGGGGTGGGACCCTGTCCCTGGGGCAGAGACCCTGCGGGACCCCCTGCAGCAGTTCCAGTGTCCGGCACCGCTCCGCACCTTCTGTCCCCGCTGCTGCGTCCCTCCAGTGCCAGCCCCCCATCCCTCCCCCTGTCCCCGCTGGCCCTGGGGGCAGGCAGGGGCTGATTTTGGGGACAGAGCTGAGGCTTCCCTCCCTTCCTGCACCCGGGGGGTGTCAGGATGCGCCCAGGCTGGCACTGGGGCTGTCCCCGGGTCCCCCTGTCCCCCACGTCCCCATGGCCGGGCTGTGCCCGCCCCACGCTGCGTGTCCCGCCCCGCACACGCGGCACCGCCCCGGGGGTGGCGCTGGGGACGCGCCGGGGTCCCGCAGCCTCCCGGGGCCATGAAGGTGAAGGTGATCTCCGTGCTGGAGGACAACTACATGTACCTGGTGATCGAGGAGAGCACCCGGCACGCCCTGGCCGTGGACGCCGCGGTCCCCAAGCGGGTGAGCGGGTCCGGGGTGGCGGTGTCCCCATGGCGGGGTATCCGTGGGACATCCCCGGGCAGGACAGAGCCCCCCATGCCCCGGGTGCGCTGGGACCCCTGCCCTGCCCTGCCCTGCCCTGCCCTGTCCCTGCGGGTCCCCGAGCCGCTCCCAGCCCGAGCCGCGCCCCGCAGCCCCCACATCCAGCGGGATCCCCCCAAAGCCAGCCCTGTGCACGGTGACCCCATGGGCACCCCCTTTCCCGGCCCGCCGTGTCCCCGTGTCGCTGTCCCGCTGTCCCCAGCCCTCCCTGTCGCGGCTTTTCGGCGTTCGGGGCTGACTCGGGCATTTCCTTCCTCCCGCAGCCGGAGCTGCTCCTGGCCCTGCGTGTTGAGCTGGCACCGGAGCCTCCTGGCACCGTGCGGGGCTGGCAGTGCCCTGTGCCAGCGTGGGTGGCACGGCCGCCGTGTCCCTGCCGTGCCGGTGGCACCGTGCCCTCCTCTGTGCCTTCCCTGAGAAAGCACCGGCCAAAAACGCCCCCAAGGCCGTGGTGCCATCCCCCTGCTCCAGGCAGGGTCACACCTTTGTGTCCCACCCTCAGGGGTGCATTGGGGGATTGCCCTGCCTGGTGGCACAGGGGACAGGTCATTGTGGGTGTGTGTCACCTCCCGTGCTCTCTCACCGCTGCTCTGGTCCCTTTCAGCTGCTGGAGATCATCAGGAAGGAGGACGTGGTGCTCAAGGCCATCCTCACCACCCACCACCACTGGTAGGTGTGACCCGCTCGGGGTGGCTGTGTCCCCACGGGGACGGTGGCTGTGTCCCCACGGGGACGGTGCCCGTTCCCAGTCCCAATCCCAGTCCCTGCTGTGCCCCAGGGACCACGCCAGGGGCAATGAGGAGCTGGCCCAGCTGCTGCCAGGCCTGCAGGTGTTCGGGGCTGACGAGCGCATCGGGGCCCTCACACACAGGGTCAGCCACGGCCAGGAGCTCTCGGTGAGGGCCTGCAGGGCTGGGGACACCGGGTGGGGACACACAGGGCTCCTCCTGCTGCTGAGGGGGATGGGGTGGTCACACTGTCCCCAGTAGGAAGGAGAATGGGGTGGTCACACTGTCCCCGGTGCAGAGCAGAGTGGAGTGGTCACACTGTCCCCAGTGGTCCCCAGTGGGGTTGGTGCTTCTGGGCTGTGCTCAGCTCTTGGTGTCCTGGGGTGGGTGCGGATGTGGCCCCACAGATTCCAGGAAGCTCATCCCAATCCCAGCCTGTTTGGGGTTGTGCTGGAGGCTCCCACCCTCTCCTAGATCCCAAATGCCATCGGGGCAGACGCAGCTGGCCTCCCCCAAAGCCCCATCAGATCTGTGACCTGCTGGGCCCCGGGCAGGCGTGGGGAGGCCTGGGGGTCTGTTTGTCCCCCTCAGGGGGACCCTGACCCTCTGTCCCCCCAGTTTGGGACCATCAGAGTGAGGTGTCTCTTCACACCGTGCCACACCTCGGGCCACATGTGCTACTTCATGTGGGAGGACGATTCCCCGGATGCTCCAGCTCTTTTCTCAGGTACCCACGTGTCCCCCGTGGCCTTTGGGGACACACTCCCTGTGTGCTGCCTGTCCCCACACTCAGCGCTGCTGGGGTGACCCTGGCACCCCATTCCTGGTGTCCCTTGGTGCCCACCCTGTCCCACAGGTGACACCTTGTTCGTGGGGGGCTGCGGGCAGTTCTTCGAGGGCACAGCGGAGCAGATGCACACCAACCTCACCCAGATCCTGGGCACCCTGCCCAAGGACACGGTGAGAGCCCTCCCCTCCCTGCCTGGGGGCTCCTGGGGCCGGGAGGGGGCTCAAGATAGGGATCCTGGGCTGGGACAGGGATTCTGGGGCTGGGACAGGGTCTGGGGCTCAGGGCAGGAATTCTGGGCTGGGACAGGGATTCTGGGTCTCAGGGCAGGGATCTCAGGCCGGGACCTGCCCTGGGAGCAGGTCTGATGCCCGCTGCCTCCCGCAGAAAGTTTTCTGTGGCCACGAATGCACCGTCAGAAACCTCAAATTCGCCTTGAAGGTGGAGCCAGAGAATGAGGTGGTGAAGGAGAAGCTGGCGTGGGCCAAGGTAAGTGATGGTGTCCCCTGTGCCAGGGGTGCCAGGTGTGGGATGGCAGCGGGATTTGGACACCTGTGTCCCCTGGCAGCAGAGGGATGACGAGGACCTGCCCACGGTGCCCTCCACGCTGCAGGAGGAGTTCCTGTACAACCCCTTCCTGCGGGTCACGTAAGCGCTGCGGGCTCCTGCCCAAACTGCTCCCAAACCCCTCCTGCCCCAAACCTGACCATCCATCCCTGCTCCCAAACCCTCCTGCACCATCCCTGCTCCCAAACCCTCCTGAACCATCCATCCCTGCTCCCAAACCCTCCTGAACCATCCATCCCTGCTCCCAAACCCTCCTGAACCATCCCTGCTCCCAAACCCTCCTGAACCATCCCTGCTCCCAAACCCTCCTGAACCATCCATCCCTGCTCCCAAACCCTCCTGAACCATCCCTGCTCCCAAACCCTCCTGAACCATCCATCCCTGCTCCCAAACCCTCCTGAACCATCCCTGCTCCCAAACCCTCCTGAACCATCCATCCCTGCTCCCAAACCCTCCTGAACCATCCATCCCTGCTCCCAAACCCTCCTGAACCATCCATCCCTGCTCCCAAACCCTCCTGAACCATCCCTGCTCCCAAACCCTCCTGAACCACCCCTGCTCCCCTTCCCCTCTTGCACCATCCCTGCTCCCAAAACCCTGCTGGGAAATCCCAGCCAGGGGCCAGGGGAGGATGCCCATACACAAGGTCACCCCAGAGCCCCCGTGTGCCCACTGTCCATCCCAGCCTAGGGTGTGTCCCCTGTGTCCCCAGGGCTGTCCCTTGCAGGGAGGAGCCCCAGGGCTGTGTCCCCTGTGTCCCCCTGTGTCCCCTGTGTCCCCAGGGCTGTCCCTTGCAGGGAGGAGCCCCAGGGCTGTGTCCCCAGGGTGTGTCCCCAGGCTCACAGGGCTGTGTCCCCATGTGTCCCCAGGCTGACAGGGCTGTCCCTTGCAGGGAGGAGCCCCAGGGCTGTGTCCCCTGTGTCTCCATGGCTCACAGGGCTGTGTCCCCTGTGTCCCCCTGTGTCCCCTGTGTCCCCAGGGCTGTCCTTTGCAGGGAGGAGCCCCAGGGCTGTGTCCCCAGGGTGTGTCCCCAGGCTCATAGGGCTGTGTCCCCATGTGTCCCCAGGCTGACAGGGCTGTCCCTTGCAGGGAGGACCCCAGGGCTGTGTCCCCAGGGTGTGTCCCCTGTGTCCCCAGGGCTGTCCCTTGCAGGGAGGAGCCCCAGGGCTGTGTCCCCACGTGTCCCCTGTGTCCCCAGGGCTGTCCCTTGCAGGGAGGAGCCCCAGGGCTGTGTCCCCATGTATCCCCTGTGTCCCCAGGGCTGTCCCTTGCAGGGAGGAGCCCCAGGGCTGTGTCCCCACGTGTCCCCTGTGTCCCCAGGCTCACGGGGCTGTCCCTTGCAGGGAGGAGGCCGTGCAGAGGTTCACGGGCAGGACAGAGCCCGTGGAGGTGCTCAGGGCCCTGCGCTCCCACAGGGACACCTTCAAGAAGCCCAAGGAGAGGCCCAACCCCCAGGCCATGCTGGCCTTCGACTGGGGGCTCTTCGGGCCCTTCCTGGAGAAGAAGTGACACCCCGAGGTGCCAGGGCGCCCCTGGCTGGGCACAGCTCAGGCTGGCTCCCAGCTGGGTTTTGGGGCTGCATTTTGTCTTTAGGCCGCTTGTGTGAGGCTGCTCTGCTCTGCTCTGCTCTGCCCTGCTCCCCCCTGGCCCCTGGGGTGCCTGTGCAGCTCCTGGATCCCTTTGGGGGGATCCCAGGCTGTGGGACCCCCTTGGGGTGCTGGCAGAGGGTCAGGACGTGGCTTGGAGCAGGGGACAGTCCTGGAAGGAGCCAGGGATGCTCAGGACTGTGGTGCTGTGCCCCATGGAGCCCCTGCCTGCCCTGCATCCCAGCCCAGGGCTTTGGGACTCCTGGAGCCCTCCTGCCCCTGCCTGTCCCTGGCCCAGTGTCCTGGCTGATGGACACTTGGATCCCCCCCATGGGACACTGGGAAGTCGCTGGTGTCACCAGAACCCACCCAGCTCCAGCCCTGTGCAGACAAATCCATCACAGCAGGGTTTGGGTGGGTTTCCCCCCTTTTTCCCTATTTTCCAGCAGCTCCCACAGGGATTTGTGGCCGTGGCTGCCTTGGGGAGCCCTTGGTCCCTGTGGGGTGTCCATGTGGAGCAGGGTCAGCCCCAGGAGGACTCCCCAAGGTGGGACAGAGTTCAGGCAGCCCAGAACAAGGTGCTGCCATGCATCCCTTTCTGCTTTTTGCTTTTTCCAAGATAAAACCTGGGAAACACTCGGTGCCAACCCCATGGGCATTGCCTTGCCAAGAGCCAGGGAGCAGCTGGGGCTCCCAGGCCTCCCCAGCCTTCACTCTGTGCAAATCCAGGGCTGTGCTTTATTTATTTTTGCCTGAGAAAGGAGCAGAGTTTTATTTGCAGCTGTGGGGAGCCACTTCACACCACTGAAGTCATTCCTTTTTTATTTTTGTGAAGAAAATGAGAGTTTGATGGCAGCTCCCAGCACTGGGACAGAGTTATTTCAGGGATTTTCATGTGTGGACTGTGAATTTCTTTGTTGCCACTGGAGTCTGGTTTGGGGCTTTTTCCTGTGCTACAAACCAAGTTGGGTTGGGGTGGATTTTTTTGGTTTTTTGGGGTTTGTTTGTTTGTTTGGGGTTCTTTGTTTTGTTTTTTTGGGGTTTTGTTGGTTTTTTGTTTGTTTTCCCTTTTACTAAGTTATAGTTTGTATTTCCTTTGCATGGAAGGGAAAAGATTTATCCAGCTGCAAAATGGTACCATGGCCTGCATCCCTCAGTTCCCATGAAATGCTGGATTTTGGATGTTCCCTTTGAGATTTGATTTCTCCTGGGAGCAGGGATGTCCCTGTGGGTGTGACCCAGCCCTGAGCCTGGGACAAATTCAATTCCACAGCCCAAACTGGGACCAATCCCAGCTGTTCTGGTGCCAAACCGGGAGCCCAGGGTGGCCCTGTCACCTCTGTGTGTGTTGGTGGCCTGGGAATCCAAGGGCAGAGCCCTGGGGGTTTCATTCCCAGCCCATTCAGCCTCTCTGAATTTTGTGCATTTCTGGGCTGATGTGCTGAGCCCACCTGGAGCCCCTGCACAGCCAAACCCCTGCATGGCAAAGGGAATTCTCTGGAAGCACCAATTTGCTCCTCAGGAAGGAGGGAAGGGGGTTGATGCCTTAGAACACTGTGAGGTCAGGAATGATCAGCAACAGCTGAAAAATGGACAGCTTTTAATTAAAAACATGAAAATTCACCGCTTGCTCTGTGGATTCATTGGAACAAAGTGCAGAGGGGGCTCTGGTTCCTGCCAGCCCCAAGGTCAGGGATTATTCTGTGGTAATTTCAGGATGCTATCCAGCTGTAAGTGCCTGTTCTGTCTGGATTTAGGGATTTTATCCCTCAGAAGTGGCTGCTGAGGCTGGGTAAGGGTGACACTTCTGTCACTCCCTGCTGAGCGTTCAGGAATAAAACACAGAGAAGGAACTGCCCTTGGTATAAATTATTATAATTTAAGGAAAAGGAATCACAGGGTTTCTGTCCAGCATTCCCTCCAGTCCCTCTGCAGCCCCAGGGATGATCCCAGGCCTTGGATCCCCTCTCTGGGGGCACAGACCCAGTGAGAGGGAGAGCTCCAGGCTCAGGGGAGCATTTCCAATGGGCTGAGGCTGTTCCAGCAGGGACAGGCGCAGATCTGAGTGCTGTGACAGCCCAGCAGGGCCTGGGGAGGAACACTGGGCTGTGGCACAAAGCTCAGCCTGCAGCTGGGCTCTAAACCCTTGAGCTCTCAGCTCTGGCACTTCTGGGGCTGTCCCATCAGCCTGGGAGGTGTTCCTGCCTCTCCTGCTGTGTCCCTGCCAGACTTGGGGTTTATTGCCCTCACCTCACATTTGGGGTTTATTCCCATCCCCTCACTCCCCAGCTGGAGCAATGCGCAGTGCCAGGCCCTTCCCCAGAGGCAGATTTGGGGTGAATGGGCAGTGCCAGGCCCTTCCCCAGAGGCAGATTTGGGCTCAATGAGCAGTGCCAGGCCCTTCCCCAGAGGCAGATTTGGGGTGAATGGGCAGTGCCAGGCCCTTCCCCAGAGGCAGATTTGGGGTTTATTGCCCTCACCTCACATTTGGGGTTTATTCCCATCCCTTCACTCTCCAACTGGAGGATTGAGCAGTGCCAGGCCCTTTCCCAGAGGCAGATTTGGGGTGAATGGGCAGTGCCAGGCCCTTCCCCAGAGGCAGATTTGGGGTGAATGGGCAGTGCCAGGCCCTTTCCCAGAGGCAGATTTGGGGTGAATGGGCAGTGCCAGGCCCTTCCCCAGAGGCAGATTTGGGCTCAATGAGCAGTGCCAGGCCCTTCCCCAGAGGCAGATTTGGGGTGAATGGGCAGTGCCAGGCCCTTCCCCAGAGGCAGATTTGGGCTCAATGAGCAGTGCCAGGCCCTTCCCCAGAGGCAGGGGCTGCCCAGAGTCCCTGCAGGATCAGCAGTGGAGGTCAGAAGGCACTGAGGCTCTCCTGGGCAGGGCAGCTGTCACCATTTGATGCTGAGGGCAGAGCTGGCTCTCTCCACAGCGTGGTACTGGGTGTGCAGCACCTGCAGGGCCCTGTGTGAGCCCCAGCCCCCCAGCCAGTGCTCATAGAGCTCCCTCACTGCCCGGTTCTGCTCTGGCTCCTCAGCCCTCAGGGATTCATACAGCCTCTCCACCTGCTGCAGCTCCTCCTTGCTGGATTCCCCCTCCAGTTTGATCTGCCCTCCTCCATTCAGACAGCCTGGGGGGAGAAAAACAAAAGAGATTAATAACTTCAATAACTTCAGCTGGGAAAACATCCTCAGGAATTCCAGGTCAAACAGCTGCAGGGATGGAAACAGCCCAGGGACGGAGGTGCCCTCCCGGTTATCTGCCAGCAGCAGGGAGATGTGGGCTGCCTCCAGCTGGGGCTCTGCCAGCTCTTATCTCTTATCTGCTGCCCCCAGGAGGGAGCCTGAGCCCAGCCCAGTGAGCCCAGCCTTGCAGGAAGGGGAAAAGTGCCTGGGATGAGTTCTGGGGGCTGGGGGGGTCCTTGGGAAGGAGCAGCTCCAAGGGAACCTCAGGGCTGCCCCTCTCCCAAGGGAGCCAACAGCAGCACAGGGAAAATGGAATCAAATATTGAATATTCCTCCACCAGCCACAGCAGCATTTTCTGTCAGTGTGATGTCAGGTTTGGGCAATTTCAGGGGGAAAATCCCCTCAGGTACCAGAGCTCAGGAAATCCTCCTTAAAAGCAATTAATTAATTAATTATGAAAATGTTGTGTGATGGAATTCAGCTGCAATTCTTTAAATCCTGAGGAATTTCTGGCTCAGAGGTAGGTGATGGTGTGGCTGCCACAGCCCAAGGGGGTGAGGAATCTCCCTTTTCTCCTGTCTGGATTGCCCTGGAGCTCCCCCAGGATTTGGAGCAGCCTCACCTGAGGGACAGGCCATGACCTCCACGTAGTGATAGGGGCACTTCCCTCTCTTGAGCTTCTGCACCAGGTTCTGGATGTTCCTGAAGCCATAGGCCAGGGCAAAGTGCAGCAGGACCTGCCCATCCCTCTCCAGGGTCACCTCCTGGAAGTCCTTGTTCCTGAGGGAGCAGAGCACAGCAAGTGGCTTCTCCAAATCTATTAAAATCTATTTTAAGCTTCAAAGAGCAAAACCCAAATTCTTTGTGAGTCTCGCTCAAGAGCTGTCCCAGTTCTGGGCCACCCAAGGAAAACAGGAAGGAATTCCTTCCAGAACCTTCCTGGGGCCACCTGAGCAGAGTTTGCAGGAGGATAAAGCCTGACAAGCTCAGCACAGGGAGCCCCTCCCTGAGTTCCTTCAGCCAACACCAACTGGGGATTTTTGACTTCTGCTGGATCATAAAACATGGGAGCAAACCCTGATTGAGGATTCCAGATTTCTAAGGTTAGTGGGAATACTTGGTCCTGATAAAAAAGTAAGTAATTTGATTTTTATCAAGTTTTTGAGACTGCTTTTTCTGCTTCCTAAACCAGGGAATCTTAAACATAAAAATTGTTCCTTAGGGATATAATTAATTCTAAAGGATACATTAAATTAGAACTGGGAAGGCAGCAGGAATCTCAGGTGGATGAACCTCAATGCCCAAATTCAGTGATTAATTTTGTGTCTCACTCGAGTTAAGCAGAGCCCCAAAACCCTCCCACAAGGCTTTTTGGGATCAATAATCAGTGATAAATCTCCCTGATGGGCCTGATCCAAGGTGAGGAACCCCAGCTCCACGACAGCTCTACCTTCTCAATTACTCTAAAATTCTATAATTATTCTAAAAATTATCAGTGGGAAAATCCACCAGGCCAAACTGCAGGGTGGGGCTGGAATTCTCCCTGGAATTGGCTGATTTATTTAATATTGGCTGATTATTGCTGAGCAGCTGCGGGACGGAGCAGCCAATCTCAGCCTGGACGTGAACTTTAACATTGCAAAAAACCCCCAAAAATTCAGCCTATCAACGGGGAGAGGATTCCTGAGAAAACCCAGAGTTCTCAGTGGGGTTGCAGCTCCTTACTTGAGGGGTCTGTAGTGGATGGAGGCGCCGTGGATGCCGAAGAGCTCGCGGGCAGCGTGGATGAAGATGTGCTCCAGGAACCCCCCTGAGCCCCCACCGCGGTGAGAGCTCAGCTCCTCTGCAGCCCTGCCGAGCCTGAGGGGCACACACAGAACCCTCAGGGCTTGGGGGGCACACAGAGAGCCCTCAGAGCACACACAGAACCCTCAGAGCCTGGGGGGCACACACAGAGCCCTCAGGGCTTGGGGGGCACACACAGAACCCTCAGAGCACACACAGAGCCCTCAGAGCCTGGGGGGCACACACAGAGCCCTCAGGGCTTGGGGGGCACACACAGAACCCTCAGAGCCTGGGGGGCACACACAGAGCCCTCAGAGCCTGGGGGGCACACAGAGAGCCCTCAGAGCCTGGGGGGCACACACAGCACCCTCAGAGCACACAC